GTTATATCTTTAGGTTATTTATCAGCTTGCAAATCTGATCTGCAAATACGAAAATGGCTTTTAGAACCACTTAATATAAGGTTTGGTGCAGTGAAGGTGATGTGGTCACTAACAGGTGAAGAACTATTTGCCATATGTTTGTTACACGTACTCCCTGAACATGCATTAAAAAAGATAAAGTTTCAAGGATTTAATGCCACCCTGAAGGAAAGAATTGATGTTTTAAGTAACTGGATTTGTACAAAGTCTACGAGACAATCCAAGTAAATCCTCAAATAGACTATTATTTCCTCATTATTTAAATTCCCCTAAATACAAGTGCAGATGCTAACTTCACAGCTTTGTCCTGACAGTTCCTTCTCTATTTCTCATGATTTGCTATAAGTCTGTGACTCTCAAGCCTGGAAAAAAGTGTCCCATAAAAAAGCCTTCTGTCTCCTAGGGAGACCATCTTAAGTTCTTGCAGCTTATTTCTTACTTAGTTCTCTCGGGTTCTGGCTGATACTGCAGTATATGATAATACTACATAAACATATTATGCCTCTTTCTATAGACCTGGCTTAGGTTTGTATAGAGTATGTTAATGAGCACTTTTAGTATCTGATGCCCTTCTAAGACATGACTATGTATGCACATGCCTAAATTATGTCTTACTGAGATAATTCCCAATACACCCCAGCTGTCAGAAAAATGTAGGTTATTACACAGAATCACAGAATCTTTGGGGTTGGAAGGTACCTTGAAAGATCATCTGGTCCAACTCCTCTGCCAGAGCAGGGTCACCAAGAGCACATCACACAGGAACGCATCCAGGTGGGTTTTGAATGTCTCAAGAAAGGGGTACTCCTCCGCCTCTCTGGGCAGCCTGTCACTCTCACAGTAAAGAATTTTTTTTCTGATGTTTACATGGAACCTCCTGTGTTCCAGTTTGCACCCACTGCCCCTTGTCCTATCACTAGACATCACTGAAAAAAGCCTGGCTCTGTCCTCACCTTTAACATATTTGTAAACATTGATGAGGTCACCCCTCAGTCTCCTTTTCTCCAAGCTAAAGAGACCCAGCTCCCTCAGCCTTTCCTCATAAGGGAGATGTTCCACTCCCTTAATCATCTTCGTAGCTCTGCGCTGGACTCTTTCAAGCAGTTCCCTGTCCTTCTTGAACTGTGGGGCCCAGAACTGGACACAATACTCCAGATGCAGCCTCACCAAGGCAGAATAGAGGGGGAAGAGAACCTCTCTTGACCTACTAACCACACCCTTTCTAATGCACCCCAGGATGCCATTGGCCTTCTTGGCCACAAGGGCACGTTGCTGGCTCATGGTCATCTTCCTGTCTACCAGGACCCCCAGGTCCCTTTCTCCTACACTGCTCTCCAGCAGGTCAGCCCCCAACCTGTACTGGTACATGAGGTTGTTCTTCCCCAGATGCAGGACTCTACACTTGCCCTTGTTGATTTTCATCAAGTTTCTTGCTGCCCAACTCTCCAGCCTGTCTAGGTCTAACTGAATGGCAGCACAGCCTTCTGGTGTGTCAGCCTCTCCTCTCAGTTTAGTGTCATCAGCAAACTTGCTGAGGGCACACTCTGTTCCCTCATCCAGATCGTTGATGAAAATATTGAACAGTATCAGTCCCAGTACCGACTCCTGAGGGACTCCACTAGCAACAGACCTCCAACTAGATTTTGTTCCATTAACCACAACTCCGATTTCATCCTTTCTCATATTCCAGTGACAACAACAGGCATTCATTTTCCTAGACAATATTTATATTTATCAATCTGTTCTTTGGTTAACTAGCTAAGGTTTACTTAAAGCCTTATGATCCATGCTATAGAATTTGGCTTATAATTTATTCAAGTTATAAACATGGAGGGGGGCTGGCTGGGCAGAGTCCAAAGGATGCAAAACTCAACAACAAACCAAAGCATAAAGGAACTGCTCAAGAATTTAAAAGATTCTGGCTCTATAGGACACACAATGCTATATATACGTGCCTGTTTACGGAGACACAATAACTTGAATTATTCAGTTACTTACAAAAAGGAAAAGAACAGACTGTGGGGAAGGGAGAGCAGAATGAAGGCGCAAGAGAGCAAAAATTCATCCAGCAACAGAAGAGAAGAATAGAGGAGAATTGGAAAATGGATGTGGGGGGAGGAATGGATGATGAGAGAATAGCAGGCCTATTTAAAATGAATTTTTGACCTTATTTTTAAAACATTTATGGATCCCAATTGCCTGTCATGAGATCATTTTCCCTTACAATGCTAGCTTTTCAGCCGGCTCTGCACTTTAACTTGATTTATCCCAGTTAAAAAAAAGTAGATTGTTAGAAATACCCCTTCTATTAGAAATTCTGTCCCATTACAGTGTCAGCTAAAGGCCACTTGTCAATGTCAGCTTTATCAGATAGAAATTTGCCTCATGAGTTCTCAGATACTTTTTTGGAGGACAAGACCCAGGATCCGTTTCTGAGGCTGTTGATTTGTGACAGGATAGTGTCTTCTCAAATTATCCTGTTATTTCCCAACTTATCTGCATGTTTCATGAGATGGTGGAAAGTGATTACAGCAGCTGCTGTACATTAGAAAGACATCTTATAGAAAAGCTGGCTTAGGTAAAACAGCTGACTGATGAAAGCATAGAAAGTACCAGTTGAGTATTAAAAATACATATGGAGATCCAGCATCTCCTTTCCATTTGCAGCTTGCCTGGTGCCATAACCTCCTGTGAGGAGGAAAACTTATGCCAAAAGGTTTTCCTCCTCCTCAGCTGTTGACTCTTAAAAAAAAGATCTGACATCCTGAAGATTAGAGTAAGTTTTTATTTATTTACAATTATGCAATTAATCATCAGCATGTCTTCACTGATAAGTAAAGGTGGAAGAAATCAGCTGTTGTTCTATCAGTGCTAGCATTGTACTGCTGAGGGTCAGCAGGCCAAAGGGTGGAAGACTACAGTTTTATAAAATATCTTGAGAACTCTCCTGGCAAGATGCTTCAAGACATTTTTTTTTTTTTTAATATTTTGATTCTATTTTTGTATCTTATTTTCTGTCTGAATGGATTGATTTAACATGTATTTTAAGGGTAAAACTACATGTCAGAGTAGAAATATCAGCCAGGACTCCAAAAAGAACAAGCTGGGGCCACAATATTTTCCAGACTTAAAGACAGTGCCTATCAAAGCAAGGCTGGATGAGCAATAGACGATACTGTTGCTGTGAACAGACCAGAAGTCCTTGAAATTTGTAAACCACTTCAACAAGTGGAACTGTTGCAGCAACAAACTTCAGAGTATTAAAGCCCTCAGGGTAAACTAATTTTTGAGCAGACTGCCATCCTCACAACAAAAACTCAAAAAAATATTCTGCATTGGAAGGACAGAAAAAGGAAACAATCCTGGTGACACTATTATTAACCCGTTAAGATTGAGATACTTAAAGCTCTCTTTCAGGTGCTCTGATTAAGGACAACTTGCCTCACAGCAAAAGGGAAGCTTTGGAAATCAGTAATCTCTGGGCATTATACCTAACAGGAAAGGCTTAAAAAGGATTACCTAGAAGAAACCTTTGTGAATCTTAGGAAACTACACTGGACCATAAATCTCAAGCTCCTCTGAGGATTAATAAAGCTTTATCAGTTTCAGATAAGAAGTAGAAATCCACAGGCTGCTGAAGAGGTACCACTGGCCCAATCCGGGGCCTCTGTCAGGACGCTTAACATGACATATAATTTCAAAAAAAGACACGTTTAATGTGTATTCTCATTTTAGTTTATGAAAGCTATTCAGAAGAATGGTAGCTACATAGATTCTCAAATTTGGGTCACAAAACTTAAGGCAGCATATTAAAGTTAACTGCAGTAAGGAAAGAATTATTTTGCTGAAGGGACATTTTTGGTGACTGAATCAGAATAATATATTAAACAACATTTTTGGGTTAATGAACAAATATATATGATAATTTATGTAAAAACACCCCTTTTAACTCTATCTCTCTGTGATTGCAAGAAATTCTAGTCTTGCATAGGATTTTCTTGGACTGCAATGCCAATCATTTAAGATTTCACTTCAGCATTCACACAGATAAATTAGAGGACATTAAAATCAACAGTGTTAGCTCAAACTTCAGGTGTATTTAGATTCTTAAGATTAAAACATAATTTTGTCTCTTTTTAAACTAAAATTTCAAATTTAGCATAAATTGCATCTTATCAAAGTTACATTTTTGAATGCTGGTTGATTATAATTACCTCTAAAGAGACAGAGTCCAACTCCGAAACTTCCTCAGGTGGAGCTCTTGAGTACCACAACCCTGATCCCATAGACTACATCTGTCACATTTATTTAATGCATTAAAAAATCCAACATGGTCGATTTAATCTCTGGTTCTACCATAGATCACTCTTCAAGTAGTCGTGTAGATAATACACCACTGCACAGTGTGACTCCTAGATGTACAACAGGGAGTACAGTATGTCTGTTACAGTTCTAAAATGTTGGTAGAATATTTTAAGAACCTTTGATGTGAGAGGAGCAAATTATTCCATTATTCACTTTATAAAAGTTACTGAGGATGCACTGGACTGCTACTGTGCAGTGCAGAAAGAAGGGCAGCAGACACCTCTCTGTTTCCTCCTGGCTTTGCAGAGACTAGAGTCAGAGTCTGCTCTTCTAATGCTCTTGTTAACCCAGGGAACCACTGAGTTAACTGTTAGAGTACCATAAATCCTGCTGAAAAACCTGAATGCTACCACATGTGACAAAGTTTGGAAATGACTGCATGTCTTGGGCCTAATGAGAGGAAACCTGGACCGGTAAACAGACAAGTTATTTTTGGCCAAGTTTTCATGTTATTAATGTTTTCTTTGGTGGGCTAACCTTAAGTATTTATCCATTTCTACAACCCCTCAAAATTCATGTTAAGCCACCATTGGATTTCTGGAAAACGCAAACAAATCAGCACCTTCTGCTAACTTTGCATCACACTGTAGACCTACCCAACGCTGGTCGTAATCAGATGGTTGTGCTCTTCCTTCATCATCCTCATAGAAAGGCAGGCCTTCCCTCCTGGCCTGATGGTATTCCTTCCGTAACTTCTGGATACGATCAGCATTCCCACCACCTGCACAGCTGCTGAGAAAAATAAAAAATGCAAAATAAAACTCATGTGTACACACATATCTAACACTTACCAGGTATCCACATGAGCATCCACACAGAACTGTCACATCTGAGACAAATCAATTATGAATCTCCTCACTTGCATAGTGCCCACTGGCCTGAATCTCCCTTCTTTTTGCCAACTTGTATTAATAAAGCTGCTACTTGTGAACTTGAACCCCATAAAAAAAAAATGCTGTTCCTGTCCAAAGAACTTAACAATTCCAGTACAAGACAAGAGACAACAGATGGATGCAGACAGATGGGGGAGCACAAGGAAACTTTTAACATTCCTATGAGCAGCTATAAATGGCTATCATATTTTAATAATGATGATGATGATGATGATGATAGCTGCCAGAAAAATGTTTCCTTTTGCTCCCACGCTAAATGTGGAATTTCCCTAAAATTACATTTGTTCAAGGTAAAGAATAGCCTATATTCAGAGACCCACAGAAAGAACTTTTCTCTCATTAAAAAAACCACCTCCCTTCCAATTATAGAAACAACTAAAACATCAGCTGTGAAAATACACGGGAGGCAAGAGAGATGGGAAAGCACACTATTACATCTTGACACCAGTTTTTTAATGTGGTAATTAAACAGTAATCCATTTAGTAATCCACAAAGACTCACTTGTATGCTGAACTGCATACACTGCAAATTGCCGTGGTAAAGCTAGTGGAGTTGCTTAGTTTGTCAAGTTAAACATATGCCTGTCTTTGTGGATTTTGACCCTGGTGAGCCTTCCAAAACCTTACAGCTGGACTTGTACAGCTGTGGAAGCTCAGGCATACCTGGAAGGATTAAAAAAAAAACAACTAAGTTCCTGAAAATGCCTAAGAATTAAAAAAAAAAAAATAATACAGCCATGCTGAAAGAGAATAAATTAAGTTTCCCACAGCTGTTTCCAGCCCTGCTTTATTCAGAACTGGGGTGAGTACTGTCTGCATGGCTTAGTAGCATTTACTGGCATTCACAGGGAATTCTAGAATTTTTGGGGGCTCATCCTAAACTCAGACCATTGTTATTGCAACACATCATCATATATTCTCTTAATCTGCAACCTTAACTCTGCCTCACCAACAACATGCTACAAAGACAGATGTATTCATATGAGCACAGATTCTGTGGAGCATCTTGTCACACTGCACTCCAGTATGAGTATGCCAGAATCTAGGGAAGTCTTTAATAGGATTTGCATAGCAAAATGAATTTGGAAAGCGAATACAAAAGACTGGACATAAATATATCAGTTAAATAATAAGTACCTCCTAGTATCTTAATAGCCATCTAGATTTGTTGGAAATTAATTATCAATGAAGGAAAATTCCACGTAGGGTGCAAATGCAACTTGAATATGCTGCCAGGACTGGAAATGTTTACTTGCAGTACTGATACGTTTCCATGAAAAATCTAACATTTAATTTACTTGCCTTCCCTGGATCCTAAGTTACTCAGCCCCCCTACTCTACGAAGTCCCAGAGGTTTCAAGCTTCTCTGGCTGACTTACCAAACTCTTCCAAAGTGCATGAATTTTTTCTCATGATCTGCCAAGACACTGCAGAAAGTTTGCACAACCTCTGTGGACTAGTGAGGGGGGGAAAAAAAAAAAAGTGCATTCCCTTTTCCCCATGACTCCTTCCACAGATAAATGCCTCTGTTCCTTGCATGAATTCTTGTCAAATAGTGGAGAACCATTTCCAGTTTGCAAAACACTGGAATTGAGGACTAGCTAATTGGGACTATCAGTGAAGCTTGGTCCACAGCTCCTGAGCAATACAATACCTGTGAAATCCCCTGACTTTACTTGTGAATACAGATAAAGCATTTAATTAGGGCTGCTAACATACAGATAAGGCCCAAAGTGTTGTCCTTGTTGCTTTGCCAACATCATTACCCAGAGTAGCACTAGCTAAAAGTGGGAAACGCTGAAATATAGGAAACTTGTCTAGTTTGATTCCAGCTGATCTGGCTCCCTGCAGCTCACTGCAACTGTATTAGCACCTCCCACCAGTGGCCTAATGGCCACAAACTCACTTTCTACGTTCAGGTATGTTGGCTAAAGAGATAATTTGAAAGTACCATACAGGAGTTTTTTTCCCCCACGTTCTAAATTAAATCTGAGGTTTATATTGTAAGAAGCAGTAACAGCTGTTTGTGCTCCATTTACTGCAGATCTCCATTAGGTGAACTTCCTTCTGCTTAAACCCAGCCAGCCACCAAGTAGGTGCTGCAGAGACTGAGCTGATTAAAAGACTGGATCTGACAGCTTTTTCTTTGGCAAACCTCTGCCACACTGTACTAATGTACAAATCCTAACCATGAGAATGAGGAGGAAGTTTTGAATGAAAGATAGCAGCACATGGAAACTCATCCATCTGGATTAGTGTGAAAACACAACCATAATCTCTGTGGAAACAAGCAGCTCCATGAAGTCTGATTTCCTGCGCTGCTCTCCTGTGGGTTCTCTTGTATCTGATAATGGGCCTGAGTTCACACTGCAGCATTTCTCCCCAGCAAGGGCATTTGACTGGGCTTCTCTAGCAGGCTGCATATTTACATGAAACTTAGTGATTCAGTATCTTTTGAACATCTAAACACCTGTTAAATCTGGTAAAAAGTGGCCAGCAGGCTCACAATTTTTTAGGAATGTGGGGGGAACAGGTTGGAAGACAGTTGCTCGGTACATCAGCTTCATTTTTTCAGGAAACAGTTGAAGCCCCACAGATCTCTTTCTTTTATTTCTTTTCTTTTCTCTTTTTTTTTTTTTTAATTTTTTTTTTTTTTTTAATTCTCCTCCATCACTGTTTATAGGCATGAATGCAAAAGACACTGGCTTTTGAATGAGCTGCATATCTAGCTTACTGTGAAAGTTTTACCCATTCCTGAGTAATGTGAGATGAATATGATGCCCTGTGCAAAGCTCATGAAACAGTTCTGAATTTAAAGTTGGCTCCTGACAATTATGTGAATATATGAACCACATTCAAACCACCAGATGAATTCAATCAGCACAGTGCAAATATCGCATACATAATCTATTAGTTTACCCCAAAGAAACCGAAGCATTGAATTCAAACAGAATGAAGTCATCAGTAATAAAAAAAATAAACTGATAAGGCAATATTAAAAAAAAAAACACACCACAATTTTCCAAGACTGGCAGAAAAGATCATACATTCACTGTAAACTATTCTCCCATCTGCCTATAAATACATAATTAAAAAATATTGGTTGGATCAGATAGCAGTTCTCAGACAGGGAAACAGCAGATGAATACCAGTTCAAATGTTCTGTGTGCATGACTATTTACATTGAAAAGGAACCTGAATTTAGAGAAGAAATAGAAGAACAATACTCCAATCAAAGTCAATTTATATTAAGGAGACTCACTGAAGTTTTCATCAAGCCTAGTAAGTACAGCAGACAGATTTATTTTACAGTAGCTTTACATTTAATGTAGTGCTCCCTCCTTGAGAAGGTATAAACACTACAGTCCTCATTACATCTCATTACATTTTGTGCAGAAATCACTTCCTGGACCATGGCTCCCTGTGCTACATGTCCTTCAGAAAACTGCACAACCACACATTGGCCATTCCTCTCACCACCACATGTTCCTAGGCTTTAACATTTAATCTACCCATGGACTTCTCCATTGTTGTGACAAGACTGTGAGAGAACCTTCCACTCTGCATTTTGCAACTCATTTCAGAACAATTTCCTACAATTGCGCTACACGCAAGGAGACCGATTCAAAAGCAGTTGATACTGGGATAGAATCTGAACCTTTCAGAAGAAGTTTTAAATAACATCTAGGGGGGGAAAATATCTCTGAGAAACTTTAAAAAGTAAAGACTCAAATGCTGATTTCAAACAACAGTAACAAAACCTGTTCAAAATCCCATGCCACAAACAATTTTGAGAGATGTTGAACAGTTTTTTGAATAAGCTGCACAGCCTGAAAAGAATTGAGAAATAGAAAATCTAATAAATAATCTTATATGAAAGCTCAAAAGAGAAAAAAGACATGCCTGTCAGCCATTCTGTGATTTTGCTAGTTCAAACCCATACAAACAAAAGGTTTTGTCTGGCCTAGGAGAAAGTGGAAAAAAAAATCAAATCGGCATGATCGTTCTAGCCCAGACTGCTGGGGCTGCACTACTGCCAGAAACCACCATCTTCTGCCCTGTGCCTGGGTCTGTCAGAGGCACCGTGCCCACTGCAACTGTAAGGGACCTGCTATGTAACAGACACTCAACTCCTGCAGTTGGACTAGGCATCCCAAAACAAAAAGGACACTCATTTGGCACAGCTTTAGTTTCAAGCTATCTCTAACATTATGTTAAATATGACTGTGAAATTTCATTCCATCATCTCTGGAGAGAAGGATCAACAGGCACCACAGCAGTAATATTATATACCCAGTATGACAGACAAGTAATTTTTTTCAAAGAATCAAAACATCATAATCAGTATTTAATACATATGGCTCGGGTTTTGCACAATAAAATCTCCTTTCTGTTATTCCTCTGAGTTTCTAATCTGGATTTCAGTTATCCAGGTTAAAAAAATACATTTTTAAATTAGTGACTTCTTACTGCAGCTCTCTAGGTAGCACAAAATTAAAACCAAGTGTTGCATATACAGAATAAGATGAACCACTTAAAGTTGTATATAAACATGCATTTAAAGAGGCAATAAACATTTTGTTTCTAGTGGTTTTCCTAAACACATTAATATTGCACAGAGATTTTTTGCCAGCCGTTTCCTTCAAATGCTGATTTCACTTATCTGACTGTCAACCTCTAAACAAACAACTGGTGTGGGAAATAGAAAGGGAAGAAAAAAAAATATTCTTCTGGTGAATTTTCCCTTAACAAATAAATCCAAAGCAAAATGTGACTTACACACTCAAGAGATTGGACAATCTTCCATTCACAATCTCCTACAAAACAAGCCTAATTTTA